AGTTCTTAAGACTTGCTAATGAGGAGACAGTAGCCTTGCTACCTCATGGCCCTGCCTACCTTTATGGAAGGACAGCCCGTATTGCTGCTTACTCCTTTAGGTCCAAATGTTCTCTCAGTTTGCATAACTGTTGAGTCTGTTAATAGACTCTGCGACTTTGGGTGAACAGTTTCAGCTTTTGGATGAATTAATTACTAGAAGTCTCAGAAATATGCAATATTAGATGATGAATGTATCATCTGGTTTAGTAGTTTTTTTCCTTTCTTTTCATGATGGCTATTCATTTTACTTATAAAACTATAATAATTTGAATTACAAAACTAGTATTCTTCCTTATTACAATCTGCAGAATATCTGAAGGTAAATGAAGGTAAAGAAATCCCTATAATTCCTGATGCACTCTGTTAATGATCTAGTATATTAAAACATGTGTTTTCTTGCTTTTTTGCTTGCTTTTATATTTATACAAACACAGTAACATGTAAAAAGAATTAAGATTTTAAATGTTTTATGAGGTATCTATGCTTTCTAATGATTTGATTTGAGCAATATATCATCTTACTATATGCATTTTCATTTACTTCTTTTGCTAAGGTGTATACATTGGACATTCAAAAATGCACACTTACTGACTTACTGCATTCTACTTGTGATGGAGGTAGCTATATAGTATCTCATGGTCCTTCATGTATTATCCTCTTGGAGACTGACAGCTGGAGTGCTTCTAGCTCCTGTTACTATATTTAAAAAGCTGTGATAAAACATCTGTACATATGTTTTACCTTATGTTTCTATGTGTTTGATAAATTCCTTGAAATGAGTATAAGTTTAAGCCAAATGGGGTTATTTTGTAGAAAAACTTTTATATAACATTTTTAAAAGCTGTTAGTACTTTCAATGATGTACATCTATTGCATTTACTAGATTTTCACATTTATTAGCTTCATGAGTCAAAAATTCTGTCCTGTTATTTGATAAATCTTTGTATCCCTGCCTACTTTGACTGTAAACAAACATTATGTAAGTTTTGTCAGCATCGTGAGTTTATCACCCACTTACATTTCTACTTTTTAGGTTGCCCACGTATACTTATGGCTATTTCTTATTGTTGTTATTGTTGAGGAAGTCTGTATGTTTCTTAGATTTTAGAGAAATTTTCTGGTCTGTCTTGAAATGATTTTTCCTCATCTATTATTTATATTTTTGTAAAATTTTCATGTATGTATGTAGTTTTTTATGCAATCTCATCTTTTAAGTTTTCTTCATAATGATTTTGTTAAAGGCCCTTTTTACCCTTACTTAAATAGCCTTTGATTTTTGTCCTAAACACCTACAGATCTATTTTTTATTTTTCACACTGGATCCCTAATTGTACATCCTTTTTTTTGGTATAAGGTCAGGGGATAGGTCTAATTTTATATGTGTTGGAAATGTGTAATGCTTGGCTCAGAATAATTACTAAGTAACTCATTGTTTTTTCTCTAGTTTGTGGTACCACATTTATCACATAATGTTTCCTCTAATTCACAATTTACTTTTCTTGATTCTTAGGTTGTACTGATGGTATACATCTAGTTTATAGTGTTAGTACCTTACATTTTGTTAGAATATCTTTGATATTTAAAAATATTAACTATGGAGTCGAATCTCGGTAAAAGTTCTAGCAGTATGATATTATCTGGCCTTGGAATTGACTTTTTCCAACTTGTTACTAATAAGTTGTTCTGTTACTATTTCATAAATTCCAGTAGCAAACTCAGAGGGAAATAACTTTCCTCCTCACAGTACAGCAAGGAGCATGGGCATTGGCATGTTTACATTAGTTCCCGTTGCCCCACCCATAGAGATGGCCCCTGTGCATGTGGTGGGTGTGTCACAGGTGAGGAACGAACGCTGAGTGTGCGGCCCCCTGCTCTTGTGTAGCAAGCAGTGAGCCAGCTCACTGTGTGTCTCAGATGGAGCCATTACCCCAGGCCTGGAGGCTGCTTGCTGCAAACACATGCTGAGCAGTGGCCAGCAAAGAGCAGCCAGGGCCTTTCTGCCATGTACTGCAAACGGTGTAGAATATTAGGAACTCATTATTAGGAACTGTTTTTTTTTCTTACTGATTAATTGTTTGTACTGGGGATTGGACCTAGGACCTTCACACGTATTTATTCCCCAGCCCTTTTGATTTTTTATATTGAGACAGTGTCTTGCTAAAGTTGCCCAGGCTGGGTTTGAACATGTGATCCCCTTGCCTCAGCCTTCTAGAGTGGTGATATTACAAGTGTCCACCGCAATAGCTGGATTCTTTTTCAAATGATGTCCATTATAGAGACTTAGTGTAGAAAACAGATCAACATCATAATGTGCTGTTTAGGCCATTTTCACACATTTAACTGAGATTTGAAAGGTGATTATGCAGCAAACTCTCTTTTTCCTGGGCCTGCCTCTGAACCAGCTCCATGAAATTCCTATGAAGGACTACTTCCCAGATCTCCTATTTAAAGATGGAGAAAGCCAGGCTCACAGAAATGAAATGGTATGCCCAATATTGAGACCAAACTGGGTTGCTACAGTAATAAGTAAAAATGCCATTGTTTTCTCTATTTCCATTTAAGAGTTTTTTCCTCTGTTGAAAATATGTTAACAAAAAAGAAACAATAGAAAAATTTGTGAAGTTAATAATCTTATAGTCAAACAAGCATTACTGTGGCAGAAAATGAATGTTCTATAATTAAACATATATTAGCATTTTGCCCCATTGTTTGTGGTTCATATAATTCCACATATTAATACATGGCAATATAATTCAAAAACATCTAAGGGCATTTCTACTACACAACCAGATTTGCAGGCATGGTTATGAGATTACTCTTTCATTAAGTTATAGAAATCTACCTAATCATGTGGCAAAGTAATATTCTGGTCTAAATACTAGAGTCTATGGTACTGATAATGTAAATTGTCTGGTATTTTCATACTACTTACTATAGGAGAAAAAAGGGAATACTAGGTATCCATATAAGTAATTGAAACAATGTCTTTTGCCTCAATATTTATTAATATTGGGAAATTTATTTACATTTGTATGTATATATGTATATATATGTGTGTGAGCATGTATATATGAATGTTTTATATGTAAGATTAAACATTTCTCTGGAAGAAATTAGAACTTAAAATACTACAAAATACACAGTGACCTGTGTGTGTTATTTTGGAGCCTGACACTCATGCTTCTGTGTATTAACATATTCAACCCTGAATTTCATCTGCTTTATTGATATAGTTACAGGGGAAATGAAGGAGGCAGGAGGAATCAGAACATGACATGTTGGCACGAACCACAGCACTACATGTGACCTCAGATCTGTGTATGGAAGCCCTAAAGTTGGAGTTAATTGATGTGGTTCATTGTTGTATTTATAAAATGTCACAAGTAAACATATTTATGGATAATTAGGTTTGACAAGACATGCCATTTTATTTTATCAATCTGAGAAGCCACACAACAAAGGTATAAAACATTTATTTAAAGTATTAAAAGCATTTTGAGGTTTAAAAGATAATGTAGTAAGATTTTCACCAGTATAAAATTCATAGGTCAATTATGGTTTTGAAGTTTATCTTTTAAATCCTGGAACTGAGTTTCTATTCACTTAGATTAACTGTTACCTGTATAAGAATAACAGTGCTATATTTCTACCTAGTATTAGCTTACTTTACCATCTTATAACGTTGTAAGTAGAATTATTTTTTTCACCATCTCATAGAGTGCCACTTGTGTTCTTATCTCAAAGTGCTTCATCAGCAGCTGCTTTTGTACTGCTAAAGAAGAACTACTCTACCTAAACCACATTTCAAAGGAAAGCTAATTGGAACACTCAGGAAACAATGCGTTCTTCTTTAGGCAGACTATCTGCAAGAATGTTTGTTAGTTTATCTGGACACTTACTCCACCTTCATGAAACTCTTTGGACTTGTAACATGTAATGTATGTCACATATATTTTATTCCATTCTTGTGACATCTAATATATGTCACTTTTTTTATTCCATTCTTGTTTAATTCATCAACGTGCTGCAATACAAGCACACTAGAAAAATAATATTCTTCATTTTGAAAAAAATCTTGTTGATTCCAAAGTAATTATGTAGATATTACCTATAGTGCGTACAGACCAGTAATGGCGAAACTTTTAGAGACTGAGTGCCCAAAATGCAAACCAAAACCCACTTATTTATCGCAAAGTGCCAACACTGCAATTAAACCTGAATACTGAGGTTTTAGTTTATCAAAAAACAACTGTTATCCATGTTTGGCTGCTGACATGACAGCTCGTGACCTGACAGAGAAGGCTCTGTGTCCTGCTGTGGCACATTGGCCATAGGTTTGCCACTACTGGCAAATCTGAGACAAGAAATAATCCTCAGCCATCTTCCATTCATCTCAGCAGAGCTAACATAGAAGACTGTCCCTTTCTAGACCACCTGTGGTCCCAGTATCTTCTCTTCTGTAGTGTGAGCTACTCTTAAGATATTTTACTGTCTTATTGAAATATTAAGTGTGCTGACCATGCCAGGACAGCGTGGCATGATGGGTAAGGGCTCACACCTTTGAATTAGAACTGTCTTCAGACTCTAGCTCTACAGCTTATTGGCTGCTTAGGTGATTTTGAGGGAGTTATTGCTCCTTGAATTTTCATCTCTGAAAAGTAATCTGACAGGAACAATGGCTTTCCCAGTCCTTTCTGCTGCTTCTCATAACCCTAAATAATGCCTGACACATCGTGAACCTTGATAAATATTTCTCAGTGAATGAAAGCATACATAGTCCTGCTGTAGAGTGTAGTTATGAGGATGGGAAGAAGTAATCTACTTACTCTTCTCAGCATAAGCGCTGACAGCATAGACTCAAGAAATAGAAATTTAAATATTAAATACTTCACTTTTGTGTTCCTAGAATTCTTTCTTTTTCTTCCAGAGTCCTAAGTAGCACTGTCTGGGGAAGGTTACCTGGTAAAGTCTGAAGATACTTCTTGTGCCTATCTGCAAGCTCCTGTCCTGTGTCGTCTTCCTGTGTCATCTGAGAGGCATCAGGGCCCTCCACACATCCCGAGGTTCAGGCTTTCTTTTTCCTGAAGGGCTGTCACCTTTGTCATTCCTCCTGCTAAAGATACATCTGGTACATGATCTACCCCTTTTCCTGTGCAAAAGAGCTTTGTGTGCTTGTTTATCATCTTTGCTGCTGCAGTAGACACCTCACAATTTATTTGAGGTTACTTGACTTCTCAAATTTATTTAAGGTTACTTGACTTCTCAAAATTCATTCTCCACACAGTTTAGTCTCCCTGTTTACCACATTCTACTGAATCGCTTGCTTTTTTTTTTCTTGTAGGACTATGCTCTGTCATAAGCAAAGTGTACACTTTCAGTCCCTCATGTCTCTGTACCCCCTTCAAGTGTTCCCCACCGCATTCCATCTTTATCTTCTCGCCACTGACCTAGTCACTTCACCTACCAATTTCCCTGTCCCCCACTGCATTTCCCCTGATGACTAACTAGTCAGACCTCTTCTACAGCATCACAATTCTGCTTAGTTGGGTGAGTTCGTAGAGAGTGAACCCTAGAAAGTAGGAGTTAGACTCTGCACGACCAATGTGTCTGCAAATAGTAGTGAATATTACCTGCTTATTTAGTGAAGGAAAAATTGCCTTTGTGTAAAAGGAATTGAGAATGAGATGCATACTGTCGGTTCTAAAGTTGTAGTTAGGAACACCTTAGACTTGGTGATCCATGTCTATATTGGCTTCAAGGACTTTTAAAGCTCTCAGGAAAAGTTTTAAGTGCTAATATGCACTGTTTGCCTGTATTTGTTAAGGCAGGGAAGGATGAGAATGAGGGTGTTCTTTTGTTTTATGTATGAACAATAGAGAATTTACGTTTTAAAAATTATTTGGGTATTTTTTTTCAATAAGTTCTACCCTGACCATCTTATTTAATGCTGTGTCCTGACTGCAATAATATGAAGTTTTGTTACATGGATTATTTTTTTTTTGTATAGCACTTATTATCTTTTAATACCATAGTTAATTAATTAATTTATTATTTTTTTAAAAATGTACTGCACTAAAATACAAATTCCATGAACACCATATACTATTCCAGGTGATTAACATACAGTAGTGCTAGCAAAATCTTTGTACAACTAATTAATTCTATATAGTTATTATAGATGTAGTAGCTAAACAAGAAAAACAAATAGTGGTCAACTTTATATTTGGTTAACTACAAATATTTTTAAAAATCTTTCCAACTTGACTCTCTTCTAGTATGCCTCATTCCAAAAGTTGAAGAGAAAAAATACATGCCATATATATTGAAAAAATTTTCTCCAGACAAATTCCATAGCAAATTGGGCCCACAGGGAGTAACACATCTACCATTAAGGCTGAGGGAAGATTACACTTCCAGAAGAGGCAGGCCTCTTGGGGACCCACTGAGGGCAGCGCAGAAAGTGGTCAGAATCGTCCGCAAGGCCCCTGGCTGCCCCAGATCAGCTCTGTGACTTCGAGATACCTTGCCAGTGTAAATTTCCTGACCTCTTAGAGCAGGGACTGTTGTATGAATTGGAAAATAGATTTATAAAAAATTTTAAAAGCTTATCATGACATTTGATAAAGCAAAAGAAAGGTTAGCTTTGCTAGCTACAGCTGCCCAGTCTAAAAGGCCTGTGACAGTGATGGCGAACCTGTTAGAGCTTTCAGTGATAACAAATAGCCTGTTGCGGCACACGTGTCATACGTTCCCCACTACTGGGAGCTGATATCAAGGTATACTTTAAACAAGCAAGACAAAAATGATTCTTCTGGTGGCCATGGTGACATATGCCTGTAATCCCAGGACTTGGGAAGCTGAGGCAGCAGGATTGCTGTGAATTTGAAGCCACCTGGGCTATAAAGCGAGTTCAAGGCTGGCCTGAATTGCGTGTTGAAACCTTTTGTCAGAAAGACACACAAAAAAATTTCTTCTAAGAGCAGCTGAGCTGCTGGATGAAATGAGTTTTGATGTTATGCAGCAAGTGGGGGCATTTACTCCAGCCTGAAAAAGTATTTGAGACTATGATACAGAGTGTGGTAGAAGTTTTGAGCCTCGACTCAGATGAGATCACAGGCATTGATGCGTGCTTTATTTTGTGATGTCGACAGACAGTGCTTCTATTTTTACTTATTTGATGAGAATTTTTTCTGTGAGTGCATCATATCAATATGAATGCTTTTTTTACCTATAAAAAGAGCAGATTATCTAAGATTTTGAAAAGAGTTTTATCAGGAGAAATTTTAGCATGGAATTGCTTAAAATGAGTATCCTTGGAAAGCCTTAGGAAGCTGCTGACAGACACTTGTCAACCACCATTCAGGGACAAGAGGTGTGCTGACAGAGTGCATGGCAGAGCAGCTAAGGTCACATCTACTGTGGCTGGGGCTTCTTTTCCTCCTAATATTTAAATGGATTATTTATATTTTCTATTTCTAGAATTTTGGATTAAGAGCTTTCATTATTTTTATCATGAGTTTTTGCTAAATGACACCCAGTAGCCAAATCATTATAATGATTTATTCTAATTCTTAAAAAAGTGAGCAGACATTTCCTAATTAAAACATTCTGCCACTCTCAGGGGAATGCACATACATGTTTGACAGAGAGATGTCATTTAAATTACACAAAACAAGCAGTCATATCATTCATACTTTAAAAATGATTTTATCTGTAAAATTTTCATCTCAATCTAAATATAGAATCCATTTAGGAGCCACTTCTGTAAATTTAAATTATGAAGTAAGAACTGGTGGTTGTCTGAAGGGGTGTTAGTTTTATATCACGTATAATGGGTTGTCACAGAAATACAAGGTTAAAACAATGCCTGTTTACTGCTGTACAGTGTTGTGGATCCGCAGTTTGGCATGGCATGGCAGGCTTCACTGATCAGGGACATACAGGACTGAAATCTAGGTCTGGGTCTCATCTGCAGTCACTCAGGGTGTTGACAGGGTTCAGTACCTGTGGCTGTAGGACTGCGGTCCAGGGTGCTGCCATTCCTTGCTTCAGATTTCCCTCCATCTGCAGAGCCAGCTGTGAAGAACTCTTCTCATGTGGAATCCATCTCCTTCTTCAGGACTCACACTGGAGGAAGGGCCCAGGCTATCGAAGGGCTCACCTGACAAGGCAGAAATTCATTAGACAGTATCTTTTTTATTTTCTTGGAAGTCAACCCATTAGTAGCCTAGTCATGGTGTGAGATGCCATTAATTTCCTCCCACACTCAAAGGGAGAGAACTGAACAAGATATGTATACTAGAAAGCAGGAATCCTGGGAGTAAAGGGGAATGCCTTTAGAATTGTCTGTCATGACAATTAAATGATGGGTTTCTTAAAACCTTGTAAAGAAGGCAGCATCTGTTTAATTGATTTTTGTCACAGGGTGTATTAATTTCTTCTCCATTGCCAATAACACAGTGCCACAGACTGGGTGAATTATAAAAGAAAGAGATTTATTTTGCCTCACTTTCTGATCCAGGTTTGGGGCTGCATCTGGTGATAGCAGAGTGTCTAAATAGCACAGGGGATCTCATGTTGATGGTGTGTGTGTGTGTGTGTGTGTGTATGGGGGGGGTGATCTGTCTCCCTCTTCTTTTTATGGTCATAGTGATGGGGCTACCATCCTGATGATCTTAGCTCTTCCCACTTACTTCCCAAAGGCCCGACCTCTGTGGCTAGGTAAGTTTCTGTGTATTCTCTAAATACTTGACTGCTTGGCAGTAAGGATTAAACTCTAACATGAATAAGAGTTTTAGGACAGACCATATTCAAATCACAGATCAGTGCATGTTTACATAAAATATATCCTGGTAATTCATTGACATGAGTATAAAGTACAATGAATTTATCTCACCTCCTCTGGAATTCTCTTCATAGCTCTGTTTTTCCTTTAAGATCCTCTTTATTTGGGCTAGTAGTGACAGGTCTATATGAATTTATTGCCTAGTATTTGACCTTACTTTTATTGTTAAGATATTAAGTGAACTGAATTATACTGGAAATTAGATTGCAAGATTTCCTTATAGGGGAAGACAAGAACTTGACAGAGTTTAGTAGCTGACAGGCTATATGTGAGTGAAAGACAAATATAACCATATGGTTTTTATCCTGGGACACTGAGGTAGCAACTGTGAAATTGAGTAAGCCTGCAGTAAAATCCAAGGTAAGATAGAAGGTTTGTGTTGAGAAGGAAGTTAAATTATTCCCATCCAGCTCTCAAAAGACATATTGGACAGTCATCTTGTTTTGGATGTTATCAGAACAGGAATAATGTGAAAGTTATGTAATTTCAATATGGAAGCAAATAACACAGGGAAATACACATGGCATAAGAGCTAGGAGAGGCCAAGTGTCTTGATTACTTTTCTTTTGTTGCGGAGACAGAATACCAGACACCTAAATTAAAGAGAGAAAGGTTTACTTGGCTCACAGTTTGTGGAGGTTTCAGTCCATACTTGGCTGGCTCCAAGGCAAAGTGGCACATGGCAGAGGGCAACTCTTCATGGTAGCAGTGGAAAAGAGCAAAAGCAGCAAGAGCAAAAAGGGAGGAGCAGCAGCAAGCAAGCCTCTTTTCCTCCCTTATATTGTATGCAGGCTACCCACCACCCCAGGGTGGTTGTAGCACTCAAACCCATAATCCCAGCATTGGACCATGAATTGATTGAAAACTCTAGAAGCCAGTCCCTATGCCTGTATGAGGCTTTCATCAGGAAAGAGAAAGTAGGCAAAAATGTGTTTAATGACTGACTAGACAGGAAAAGTAACAAGTACATCTTGGAAAAAAAAGGAAAGAGAAATGTTTAAGGGCAATAATGATTGTTTAAAATATGGTGATAAAATTAATCTCAATAACATTTATAAATTTTTGCAGTGCTTCTTTAAAAGGTATATAAAGAGCATCTGTATGCTTGGATCTTATTAACATCATTCTTGAGAACTTCACAGGACAAGTGATTCAACAGAAGACAGACTCACTGCTTATTGCAGCATTTTTCTATAGTAGTAAAACAGACTTTAAAAAAGTACAAAGTCCACATTTTCAGTAGTAGCCATGGCTACATAAAGAAAGCATAGTACATTATGATTTCTTCCCTTCACGCTTACTAAGCACGTACCCTCTGCCAGATCCCAGGCACTATGTATGCAAAGCCACAAGACTGGCTGCATTGTCACTGTCCTTGCTCTACAGCAGAAGGCTGAACCCAGTGCAGTGGCTGAGTTAGCAATTTAATGAGTTTCAGCACAGAAAATTTAACTTAGTCTGGCTCCAGATTTGGAAATCTTAATTGATCTGCAAAGTTGCTTTTCAAAAATTTGATGGAACATTAATAATTTAGTGCTATTTGGAGAAGTTACATACTTATAATTTAATATTAAACAAAAGTGTGCTTTTCCATTTTATCCTTCTTTTCTCATTTTTTCTTTTCCCTTCATTTCCCTCTCCCCTTTCCCTGGTTCCCCTTTCTGTTTGCACAGTTTCTTCTTATTTCACAATATCTGTTATACATTTTGGTTATTAACCACTCAATTTCTCACACCAGAGATACAATGCAATATTTATATACATATGTCCAGTTTATTTCACTTAAGATATGGTCTTAAGATCCATCCATTTAGTTATAAATGTCTGAAGTTTATCCTTCTTTATGGCTGAGTAGTATTCTACTGTATAAAAACCACATCTTTTTTATCCCTTCATTGATTGATTGTACTAATAAACTTGATAATATAAAAATGTGATTTTGCTACTATATTAATTTATAAAGACTGGAAAGAGCTTTCTTGGATGAAAATAAATGGATTAAAATGAGGAATTTATATTACTTTTTCTTTATTGTTTTTTCTTTTGTCTTTGTAAATTGTATAAGAAGGAAACACTGCCAGTAGCTTCATGCCAAAGAGTCCTCTGTTAGTGACCCAACTCAGTTTAATGTGGATCTCAGAGGAGGAGCACATGGGTAGGTGGCTAACTCATTACTGTAATAATCACATTTGGAGCTGATGCATTTTACCAGTCCTGAAGCCAGATGACTGGAAGGATGAGCTACATTAATTCCTGGTCACGGAAGCCAGTGGAGAAGTGAGTGAGGCTCAGGCTGCTGGGTCCTTCTGGTGGCCTGGGCGTGAACATCGGGTACTGGCAGAGAGCGCAGCAGTAGGGAGATAGAGATACAAGCAGCTCATGCAGTGGAGACCAAGGCTTCCCAGTGGCATTGAGTACAGGAAGTGGGCTGTGTTCTAATCCCTGTGGACTCCTTGCAGAGAGCTTTCAAAGTCAGTGCAGGATAAGGATGGTTATGGAGGGCCTGTCAGTTAGGGAGTGTAGAGAGAAAATTTGGGGCTTACTGGGGGGCATATTGTGAGCCTCATAGAACTGCAGGTGCAGAGCGCAGTTCTGAGGGTACCCATAATGTGGGCACTGAGAGGTGGACACTCAGTCTGTGATTATTATTTATAAGCTCCACAGAGAGGATGCTGAAGGAGAAGGTGGGGAAAGGAAGCGAACAGGAAGCAGAACGAGCTGAGCAGCAGGACCCAGTCTTAGAATGGTGCTGGTGCAGCCACCTCATGTTACAGCAGATACTTTAGGCTCCTTGACATTGTGCAGACCTCCTCATGATTCAGGTGTAAATTAATGAAGTCAGCTGATATAATGGTAATGGTGATGTGTATTGGTTGACCAGCCCTCCCCAGGGACAATATAATGGTAACAAAGAAATAAGAAAGATGACTTAACTCAAGAAAAATACTGAAGATGCACTCTTTTCTGCCTTTAATGGTGAAAAACTAAGGAAAAGTACATATTAAGGATAGAAGTTGATATATGTGGTGTGAAAAATAACCAAGTAAATATGGATTTCGAGTTACAGATACAAATCAGCAAAAGCAAAGAAAATACTTACACATCACTTTCCTTTTAATTGTGATTTTTGCTTCTATCTATGGCCAATATGTTTCAGAAATGTTTTATTTTCCCCTCATTTGCATATATGCACTCATACATACAGTTTATTTTATATAAACTTTCAAAGTATTTTTAATTATGCTTTCCCACAAAGATCAAGAAAGGTTAAATCAGAACTTCTGAGCAATATCAAATGCAAGAAAACCTTTCTCTTTTTTTGATACCGGGAATCAAACTCATAACCTCAGGTTTGCTAGGCAAGCACCTAAGCCACTGAGCTATACCCCCAGCCCAAGAAAACCTTTCTTACTCCCCCTTGTTATCATTACTTACCACAAACCAGTTCATTGTGAAGCTAATGTTTTGAAAGGTCTCCCCCAATAAATCTCATTTCCCTCACATAAAGGTGTTTGTCAGGGGCTGGAATGTAGCTCAGTGGTAGAGCATTTGCATAGCACACAGAAGTCCTGAGCCATGAGAAAAAAATTTAAACAGTATATTTGCCTATTCTTAGTAAAAAAGAATAATTTTAGTAAAAATACAATTATACTTTCAAGAATATCAGTGTACTTAGACACTGATTCTGAAGACTCATCTAAGGGACTAGAACAGTGATGGCAAACCTTTTAGCACTTACAGTGATATAAACAGCCTGCTGTGGCACATATGCCATAGGTTCACCATTTTACCCAACATTACTATTTAAAGTTTGAAATTGTCTTCTATATTAGATGAGAAGTTTAGAGCCTCTTGACTTTAAAATATTTTGTTCTCACAAACACATATTCTAAAGAATAATACTAATGGTACAGAAGTCAGAAAAGTAAAAATACTTTCTTATTCAATTTATGCAGAGTGTTAATTGTAGGAATATTAAAAGAAGGTATAATAAAAATCATGTGATATAATATACTGTAAAAGTGAGAGTACATCTGGCCACAGGTAAATTTAAAAGACTTAATTTGGTCTGAAATTTTATGTGGTTAAATTTTAAAGGAAAATATCTTCTTCAGGAAGCAGAAACAAATTAAGTAAATTTTGAATAATTTTTGAGCCACTTCAATAATAGACACATATACTTTTTTGATTTTTACCTTTCTTTTACATAATTCTCTGAATAAGATTCTTCACTAAGATATTTATAATACATACTCTCCACCTAAGATAGAACTAAAACAGCTTTCACTTATAGTCATAATAGTGTTAATGAGGCA